TTGATGATAATAATGTTATTTAAAAATGAAATTATACCCCCCAATCCAAAAAACGTAGTTCTTCAGCTTATGGTAAACTGCTGATGGACACATGCCATCCAGTTCAAAAGGACCCAGTCCAAGAGAGCTTTCTGGTTATATTTCGGTTTTAATATATTCTGTTGATGATAATAATCTTATTTAAAAATGAAATTATACCCCCCAATACAAGAAACGTACTTCTTCAGCTTATGGTAAACTGCTGATGGACACATGCCATCCAGTTTAACAGGACCCAGTCAAAGAGAGCTTTCTGGTTATATTTCGGTTTTAATATATTCTTTTGATGATAATAATGTTATTTAAAAATGAAATTATACCCCCCAATACAAGAAACGTACTTCTTCAGCTTATGGTAAACTGCTGATGGACATATGCCATCCAGTTCAAAAGGACCCAGTCCAAGAGATCTTTCTGGTTATATTTCGGTTTTAATATATTCTTTTGATGATAATAATGTTATTTAAAAATGAAATTATACCCCCCAATACAAGAAACGTACTTCTTCAGCTTATGGTAAACTGCTGATGGACACATGCCATCCAGTTCAAAAGGACCCAGTCCAAGAAAGCTTTCTCGTTATATTTCGGTTTTAATATATTCTTTTGATGATAATAATGTTATTTAATAATGAATTTATACCCCCCAAACCAAGAAACGTACTTCTTCAGCTTATGGTAAACTGTTGATAGACACATGCCATCCAGTTCAAAAGGACCCAGTCCAAGAAAGCTTTCTCGTTATATTTCGGTTTAACGGGTCGGAGTTATGTTGATTTGGTGCTAGAACCAATCGTTAGTCTTTGGAGAGCTGCAATTAGGGATAATTTTAACTTCAGGCACGATAGTGCACCTCCCCATACCAGCAGAGTGGCTCGAGAATGTCTTGAAACGGAAGGTGTCATAGTTTTGGACTGGCCTGTCTATTTACCAGACCTAAACCCTATCCAACACTTGTGGGACTAGCTCAAAAGAAGGGTTAGAGCTCGTCGAAATAATCCAGGAAATCTAGCACAGCTTATTGATGCAGCATTAGCAGAATGGGAAAACATACCCCAAGACAACGATAGAAGCTTGCATAAGAGCTAGAGGTAGCAACAAGGAATATTAAAATTATCAATTTTCTTTTTGTTTATGCTTTTGACCATTAAAAATTTAAATCTTAATTTCGTTTCAGAAACCAAAAAAATACCATTTTGTTTATTTTGGGAACTGATTAATTTTTTTTATTGCTATATGGATTATTTTTCATTAAAAGTCATTGATAAGGACTGAGTTTTATTCATAAACAGAAAATTTTCATACATCTCAAAAATTATGGAAAATAATAGATGATTGCATATAAGTTTGGTTGTGTGTTCCATTTAATTTTTTTTTCCTAAAATATTTTTATTAAAAGAAAATATGTAAAAGTCGGCAACGCTGTACCGGTTAAGCTTAATCACGTGAATAAAAGTTTATTTGAACTCTATTATGTATACAAGTAGGTATTTATATTTTTATTATGTATTCATTAATCTTTTTAGGGTTAAAATTAAATAATGGATAAATACAAAAATTGAATATACTTTAAAACAGTATACACTATTTTAGAATCAATTGTAATAAAAAGAATTCAACTTTTATAGACCGAAAATAAGAATATCCTCTGGAGACATCAACAGTCGCGTAGACAAGAAACCTTTTGCAAATTCTCTTCACACATAATTTTTTATGCAATCCCTTTGAGGTGTATTACAAAACTTTTGACATTTGGTGGGTGTGTTTTATTTTATTTGGGACACTCGGTGAATGTAATTTTAGGGTATTTCACCTCTCTAATTTATGCACGACAGAAATTAAAATGGAAAGTGACATTTCGGTATTGCGCCATATGTATTTAACACGTTATTATAGATATCTGAAAAGCACACATACCAGAATTTTAAACAATTTCATTTAAGGCCGTTGTTCAATACTTACCTCAGGACTGGCAACTTTGGAAAAAAACTATTGAGGAACCACGCCCAAAGAACATTTTTTTTGGGCTCAATCAGATCGTCCATACAAGGTCCGGCAATAGTGCATCGAGCACCTGTAGCTCCTAGAATAAAAAATTTGGAAATTTTGTTTAAGTGCGAAGTAATTTTTTTTAAGTATTTTAAGACGTCTGGCTCTTTGATATATCTTTTACTATGCTCTGTAAAACAGGGGGCCCTCTGGCTGCCGGTAAACGTTGCGTTCCTTACTGCGCATTGAAAGAATATTCTATATTTTTATTAGTCCTTTAAATTCTAGTATTGAATATAAACCGACCGAGTCTCCATAGCCCAACGTAGAGATTTTGCCTATCAAGCGAGGAGTCAGAGTTCGAATCCGGGTCTGGGCAACGTTTTTTTTTTATTTTATTTTCCTTTATATTCTGATAGTAAAGTATTAAATATTTGGTTTTTTTGAATCACCAGAATTATTTAATACTTTACTATCAGAATATAAACGAAAATAAAATAAAAAAGTCTTTGCCTTGACCCGGATTCGAATTCTGAATCCTCGGTTCCTCGTCGGAAACTCTACGCACTGCGATACTAGAATTTATTGGACTAAATTAAAAAAAAAAATAGGATCTTCTTCCGATGCGCAGTAGTGAACGTAACGGGTATGGGCAGTCAGACGGGCCGCATGTTGTTCCAGAGAGCATAGTAAAGTATATATCAAAGAAAACGTTGCTAGCTCTAAGACTATAAAGAATGTTCTAAAATGTATTTCAGAAAAATATTTTAACTTCACAAAAAAAATGTGAGTGGATCGGGATTATTTTTTTTTAATGGAATACCCTGTATATTCTTGTATTTTTGTCTTCCTTTCAGATCACTTTACATAATCCTAAGATATGAGTAAATATATTTCGGTAGTTTCAGAGATATTAATAAATAAATAAATAAAATATATTTTTCAACCTTTCTTTAAAAAATTATTAAAAATACAAGAACTGTCCTGAAATCACAACTATATTAGGTATTTACTTTAGATGGTCTGTAATTTTTTTGTCATAAATATGGTAATCTTAAATCATACAGGATGTTCAAAATTCTACGCCAAACTTTCTAAAATATCAAATAATTTTTCTGTGTTTTTTTTTAAATGAACAACCTGTATATTCTTTTTTCAATAGATTTTTTTTGTATTTAAAGTGTTTCAAACATTTTTAACGGTTTCGCAGATATTTGGCATTTTTCACAGTAAATTTTTATCCACTCAATGATTTTTTTCTCGTATTTTACTTTATTGAGAGAG